TTTTTTTTTTTTTTTAATTGTAAAGTTTCCTACCATTTGATAAACTTTTAATGGGGTCGGCCCATTTTGAAAAAAAATTAATGAATTAAAATATTAAAAAAAAAAAAACAGAAAATATATATATATATACATCGTCTATACATTAGTAAATATGTTATGTAATGTCCTATTACAGTGTATAAATGTGTAAGTGAAAATGTGAGAGTGAAAGATGTATGTAATATCTATTCTCGTATATCCCAAGAAAGACGAGCACCGATAGGAATGTGCCATTGGAGAACTCGACGAAGACTCATTTATGTTTATAATGCTGCGTGTGTAATAACAATAATAATTATATATATATATGAAGATGATGACGATGATAATAATTATGTTAGATGATAATTGTTCGCACGACCTATAAAGGGAAAAACAAATTATTGCAACAAATGTTTTTCTTTCTTCGACATTTTTTCTTTTTTTTCTTATTTTATGTATTATTACGACACGTCGATATTTTTTCTTCGTCAACATTGTTTTACGTGTACGTCAAAAACACGTGTATAATTAAAATAACTTAAGGTAATATATATATATATATATATATATATATATATATATATATATATATATATATAAATACGTAAAAATCGTGAATATGTTTAGAAACAAAACTTCTTTACATTGTACGCAAGTTTTTTTTTTCTTCTTCTTCTTTTTCTTCCTAAGAAATAAATAATATTAACTGCGTATAATTTATTATCCTGTAAAACTCTATTCCTTATTTGAAAAGAACTTGCTAACAAAAAAAAAAAAAAACAAAAAAAATTCAAATAATGATCCATATGGACACTGAGTGAATTGAAACCAAGAGATGATAGTACAGAAAATAAGGTGAGTAAATGAACGAAGTTAAAACGGTTATTCTATCTTTTCAAGGAAAAAATATAATGAAACATAATTTTTCTCGACAGATGGACCATTTGGATGCTGTGCCAAGAAATCAAAATAAATAAATAAATAAATAAATTAAATTAAATTGGATTTCTTTGATATTTTTTCTTTTCATTCGCATTATGATTATTCTCAAGTTATGTACTCTTAATACACTCAACGATTCACATGCAACGTAAATAACGTGTAAATCAAAATTAAAATACAATGCTTAACTTTGTTGTGCGAGTAAATAATACATAACACTCGATTATGCAATTGAAAAATTACATAACTTGTTGTTTTTTTACTTTTGCAATTGATCATCGTAGACAAATATTCATCGACTTCTACTGCAGTTGAAATTAAAGTAAAAAATGATTTGCAATGTTAAACAAAAAAAGAAAAACATAGAATCACCCTTAATAGTACAAA